TGATAACACAAAAATACTGATTAACGAGAGTAATTATAATAAGAGAAGAGTCCATGAAATGATACAGATTAAAAACATAACAATGCTATAAATTTCAGATCGGATTCCGACAATCTTAGCTCAGTATATCATACATTAATTAAATGAAATAAACATAGAATATTAACTAACACCAGGTATATTGAAGAATTTTGCACACCAAAAATAATATTCTCAGAATTCAAAGAAAAATAGCTGAAAGTAAAAGAAATCAATATAAACAATATTTTATTCGCTTTGTGTCCAAAAGGGACAAAATTAATACTTCAAATGTATGCCAAGGCTTAAAGCAGCAACAACGCTACACATGTAAGTAAAAATATTTAAGTATCTGAACAAAGAATTCTAGTTTCTTCTCAAATTTGATTGTCCTGACTAATCACCTGTTAAACCTAATTAATTTTAGAATGTTTTAAAGTGTTGCAATTGTGATGTATTTTAATGTGTGATATGATGAGGCTGTTGACGAACTGTGATTGTTTTTTAAATTAATGAATTTTTTTTTAATATGTTATTTTTTAATATGTTATGGAAAAGTTACATGACAAACCAACTTTGGTCAGTTAAAAAAATCCTCTGTAAGCTACAGGGGGAAGACGAAAAAGTTTGTTCAGCCCCTTATGAAAAAATGTAAGGTAAAGTTGGATGTTGTGAAATTTATAAAAAATATATGAAAAATACAAATTAGCTCGAATGTTCAATAAAAAGAACGGCATTCCATTCAATAAAAGATAAGTTTGGACTGTCACTTGAATTTGAGACACTCTGTATCAAATGATGCCATCTTAAAATAAACTAGACGTTAGTATCTACAACTTTTGTATGTAACATTTTTCTCTAAATTTCAAGCGGGGTAGCCAAAGTTTAATAAAGAACCTTATCCAATGTTTCATCTCTGAACTTATGCGAGTTTATCAGTCAGAAATATTTAAATGCAGAAACATACTTTTTTAAATTTATAAATTTTTTATTAAAAAAATTTTAGAGTTTCTGCTTTGCGATGACCCGAATAATTTTGCGAAGTTTCGTGTTTTAATCTGTTCCGATTTAGAAGTTAGCAAATTTTGAAATTCAGATAGGTCTAAAGAAATCGCTTTTCTGAAGCTCGATTGACTACCAAGGCCGCCAAACCTAAACCCTTGTGATTTTTTCCTGGAGGCATTTATGAAAAGTTTAGGTTGCAAATCGCATGTAGACACACGAAAAGTTTCAGATTTCAGTAGCAAATTAACCAGAAGAATCAGAATTGAAATTAATTGTTTACGTCAGACAGAATTGTAGACTTCCGAAAAATCGATGGAACTTCCTCCTTTGCAGTGTTTCAAAAAAAGCAATCAGGCAATTGTTGCAAATGCAATAAACAATTTGAAATTATTTTAATTATAACGGTCTAAACGTTTTAAAACCCACACAGATTCATTCCCAGAGGCCCAAGTTTAAGTAAAAAAAAATGAACAGATAAACATTCACACGGATAAACATTCACAACATTCAAATGAGATTGGTTTTACCACCAGAAAACGATGAACTTTCCCTAAATCTTAGAAAAATCCATATTCATAAAACATTTTAATTTGAACTTAGCTTAACGCATACCACAGATGTATGAAAGCCTGTTGTTGCATCCAAATATAGATATTATTCAAATTTCACTCTGAAAACACTATGTATAATTAGGATGGTTCTTGCAAAATCCAAGTTCAAGAGTGCTTAATTCTCCAACCAGCGACTAGAAATATTTCATATTTGCTTTACAGAGTCTATGATTAAAAGTTATCTCTACTTTATTGTGGAAATGGCTCAGCTTTATTCGGAGCCCTTTTTGACACTAGGCTGGTGGTGCTAATTGCCTCAGAAGAGGAAAAAGAAAGCAGAAAACGACATTGTAGAACTAACATCTCAGAAGAATCACTCGATATTAGCTTGTAACAGCAAAGCGGAAACAGCCAGAAAGAGTTTCAAGGGCGTAATGGAATTTCTAAATGTTCAAAATTGGATTTCGTCAAAATGTGCTCAATTGTGCTGTTCTGCATTTAAAAATTGCTGATTTCTAAACCAGACGAGATTTGGAAGAGTTTGCATTCATCGCAACACCCCAAGAATGGGTTGACTTCGAAAGACGCATTTGAAACGTACACATTTTCGGAAAACAATTTTGTTGAGTTACGAATATTCTCATTATTCTCAATTGTGATTCTTTGCTATTAAAAATTGGTTACTTTAAAATCCTTAAAAACACCGCCTGTAGACTAACTGCTACTGCCGGTCCGAAGTCCGGATAAAGTGTGGAGGGTTCACAAGTCAGGTTAGCCAGCCTTCCAAGGAAACAAAAACAATACAGCTCACAGAACTACAAGCCAACATAGGAACCTGATTGATGAAAAGATGACGACAAAGGCAGAAAAACAGACGAAGATTTGAAGACGGAATAAACTCAAAGTAGACTCCTGGAACATCATGCTGGACTGCAAAGAATCAGGAGACTAAAGATCTGAAAGACAATAACATAGAAATATCAGCGAAACGAAGTAGAAAGGAAAGGGGAGTACCACGTGGAGTGGAGTACGACGAGAACAGAGCTCACGCTCAGGAGTGGGGATACTGATACACCAAAAGTACAAACAACAAATAAAGAGTGAAGTCTACGTCAACAACCACGTCAACCAAGAATACCACAAGTAACAATAAGTAGTAAACATGGAAAAACTTTATAATACAAAAATGTATAATTTCCCCACACTTTCAAATTTATTTGAGTTTTGTCGCTTTCTATTTTAGGGTTTCAAAAATACATTTCGAATATTTCATCCTCAAATATCTCCTGTTTTATATGTTAGCAACTTATTAATGCAGAAATGCACAATTTAACGTTGAAATAAAAAATCATATTTTAAAAAATTGATATATTTCAAATTTGTCTGTCGAATTCTATCCAATTTTGATAGTTTTATAATTCGTGTGTCCCAAATACATCTTTAATATACAGGCTTTGAATCTGTTCGGGTTTATTAGCCATAAAATTGCAGGTTTGCGCAATCTTTGCAAAGTCTGCAAAAATTGACAAATTGTGAATGCGCTTTTGGAACTCAATTCGATTTCGAGAGTTTCTACTGTGGACTGTGGAGTGTCGCAAATAAATCTGTAAAATTTTGCAGTTGAAACTACTATGGTTTAGAACTTAGCAATTTTTAAATATGCCTTATATTTATTACAGAGGGAAAACGTCCATTAGGTCGGCCCGCCTCAGATAGAGAGATAATATTGCAAAAGACCTAGAAGCCATGAATATCGAAGATGGCCCTGATCGGATGCTTGATAGAGAAGGTTGGAGACATGTGGTTGAGTCGGCAAAAACTCACCCAGGGTTGTAAAGCTACAGATAATGATGATGAATTTTTAAATATAGAAAAGAGCAATTGCAATTTTTTATAATTTTTAAAAGTTATACCTTTCGAAAGTATCGATCATCTTCTAAACCTGTCCCATACAGGGTGGTAAAACCTTAGCCACCTTTAAATCTGTAGCAGCTTGGACCCTTTTCTAGGTGCCCTTCCTGTGCTTTCCCTTTAATATATTGACTTTAGTCTGCTTGTTTAGAAGAATCAGCCTGTATCACATTCTTGTCAGCCAACTATTTCATAGCTTTAGTTTATTTTTAACCAAGCTGGTTTTTATTTTGCTCCACTTACTAATGAACAGCATGTCGAAACAAGTAATTACAAAGACGAGCATTAGAAAAAAGCCCAATGATGAAACTGCACGTAAAAGCACGAAAGAAGGAACCAGCAATCTCGCACGAACGCGAGCCGCACCCGTGAAAAAATTTCAAATCTGAAAGTAATGGAACTTCATTAGTACCGATCTGACAATAAAAGCGTTATGTTGATCGTGAATTTTTGGAAGAGAAATTTTCAGCGAATGCGTCCCAATTAACGAGCTTGTTTAGCGATTGAGAAGCAAATCAATTTTCGCATGCATATAGAAACAAACCCTGCAAATAAATCAAATCATAATTATCAATTGCTTCCTGGCCTCATACGTTAATGCGCTGTTTTGGTCGAGAAAGTCCTTTCCCGATAATTGGAATAATTATTATTGATGCTTTCCAGCTACCGATAGGAAGGAGCAATTCCAACGCAATCACAATTAAGGCTTAGTTTCCTTTAAGGCTCCAGAAGGCAGCAAAATAAATAAAAATTTCTTCCATTCCATCTAACACTTTAAATTAGTATATTCAGTCGTGATGCAATCCATCAAAATTCCGCAAGTATTAATACTCAGACTGATCTAATGAGGGTAATTTCCATCATCAATTATTGCACACCACTGACGCAACCGCTCCTTTTTTTTCTTTGCCACGGTTCTTTGTGAGATCTATAACACCTCTAGGGCATTTAGCAAAGAGTGAGTTTGCAGGAAATGGACGGCCTCATGAGAATCGCAGTAATTATGTAAATTATCGACTGAAACCTGAATGTTGCAGGATTTGAATAATTGGTGTTGGGCAAGTCGTAATTACTGACCGACAAAATCGTTCATAATGCGCTGGCTTTAATTGAGATCCTGCTGCGTCACTTTTTGCAAAATATACTAGATTCAGTGGTAGAAACGCAAAAGTGAAATATTATTTCCAGCGTTCAATCAAACGAACGAAAATCAGATTCGACAAAAATGTTTTGTCCAGAAGATGTTGAACCCTGCAGATGGATCTTATAATCATGCTATTATCTGCGCACTTTTCTAGGGCAATGCTACAGACGAAAACCGTAGACAAAACTGGAAAAGTTTTGCAAATGTCGCAGCTAAAAAATGTTTCATCGGATCTTATCACCTGAGCAGTGGCAAAACCACGTATCTACTACCTAAAGAGAAAATCGAATTAAATCATCGAGATGTGCGTATGTGCAACACATGGACCGAAAGAACCCAAAGTGGTGCAGCATTCTCCGATGCCGGCGGGTACCACTCAGTCGAAGCGGAGACGCTACATTAGATGCACCAAGTGAAAGTACCCGATCGGAGAATGGATGAACCTGCGGTCCGATGGAGTACCATCGCGCTGGGAACGTATGGTTTTGCCCTCTCTTCCGCCCGTTATGGGATCCATATATATACACACCTCGGCCAAGGGGTAGTGTATCAGTAGTTTGGTAGTGTTTTCAAACTGAACATGAAACCATTTCTGGTAAGTGGAATATCAAGCCATTTCATTGTCAGTGGCATCGCTTTAACTCACACGAGTCTTGCTCTTGTTTAGTCAGGCCATCAACATACACCTAAGGTGATGGTCGCGGGTTTTGACAATGATCTAAGAGCAGATTAGTAGATTTAAAGCACTCATGGATCACACCATTGATATCATAGAATGTAGACGAATGAAAATGTTAAGAGGGAGACTCTGTCGGCGTTTTAAAGTTTTCAGTAATTATCTAAAAATTTCTAAACTATGGATCGATTTCCAACTTTAACTCGAATTTTCAAAGCCAACCTTTTATCCTGTTGTTATCGAATTTTTGTTTACATAAAAAACATGGACAAGTCGAAAATTCTCGAACATTTCTTCAATTTATTGGTCTGGCTTAAATAGGAAATTTATAGTTTTTCATTATTGCAAAAAAAATTGTTAACCACGCTTATTAGCTTTGTTTCGGTCCAATTAGAATCAACTCATCATCATTTTCTGATTTTTTGACGCATTTCAGTTGATCGGTACTTCAATTTACCGATTACCTGGAGTTAAATGGAGTTTTTTTCATCCACTTTACCGATTCGATTTGACATGGAGTTGATTCGTGTGAGTCCCAATAATCATCGGTGCCACATTCAACTAATTCTAATGTAATTTGGCAATTTTATTAAATTTTTAGATTTTCCTTTCCATAAGGGTGTGCGCAAACTTTTTCGTCTTCCCCCTGTAGCTCACAGAGGATTTTTTTTTAACCGATCAAAGTCGATTTATCTTGTAATTTTTCCATATCTAAGCACTGGTCAAGGAATAGTTCGGAAGAAAAAAAAAAATTTTGCCTAAAATTTTGGTGGGGGAAACTTGCGATTTTTCGAAATAAAGTCATGTTTTCAATGTATGCAAATGCAATTGTCATGTCAAAACGAAGTTTTCTACAGACAAAAGCTATTTTTTTTAAATCTGTGCGTCAACAAAAAAGTTAGTATTAACTGTTTCACTACGATCCGATCGTTAATAAGCGAGCAATTGACGATTTTCAAAAAACATACGAAATTTTGGGAATACATTTTCGAAATTTTAATAGAGTAAAGTTGATTCGTATTTCTCTCAGTACTAATTGGTGTCAATTTCAACCAAGTCATTAGTTCACAATTTTATTGTGATTTTGAAAATTTCCCTTCCATAAGAGCCTGCACGAACTTTTTCGTATTTTCGTCTTGCCCCTGTAGCTCACAGAGTAAGACCTTTTTAAAGTAACGGTAACTTAAATAAGATCTTTAAAGATTTGTCATATCGTTTTTCGATATATAAACACCTGTCAAGCAAAAGTAGAAAATTTTAATTTTTTTTATTTTACATTTTTTTTGCGAAAATGAAGCTTTCTATATACAAAAGTTGTTCTTTATAAAAGAGCTCATCAGGCGCTATCAAGCGGTATTTTTTCAAACTTCCATCTTTCATAGTTTCCGAGAAAATCGCGAAAATATAATTTCCACAACACTGCCAATATATGAGAACCCAAAAGAGCTAAACTCAATCTAAAAGTCCAGTCGATCGGCCGTCTAAAGCTTCTTAAAAAAGTTCACTTTTTCGCTACGATCGCTAATAAGCGAGCAATTCGCGATTTTCTAAAAACATGCTGGGAAAAAATGTTCGAAATTTTTCCCAATTCTGTGATGTAAAATGTCGATCAAATTTTGAGATGGAGGTCTTTGCTGATCCAAAACAATCCATGATAATTGAAAAAAAAAATTTAGAAAAAAATCCTTGTCCGGACCATGAGGACTCATCCAGAGGCCGTTTTATGTAAAAATGTCCGGCTGTTGAAAATCAATATTGAACATTTATATCGAATAGGCCTAGAATTTTACGAATAGTTCGAAAATGCAATAAAAAGTACGGCCATTCCATTTTACAAAAGGTAAGTTTGGTTGGTCTGTTATTTTAATTTGAGACACCCTTTATCAATTGAGGCTTAAAATAAGATAGACGTTAATATCTACAACTTTTGTATTTCATATTTTTCTCTAAATTTCAAATCCTTAATTGAGGTCTGCTTTTTTGCAACTTGTAGTCCTTGCTTAAAAACCTCTTTTTTCGCAAGTTTCGAAAAATTATAATATCTTTGGCAGATATCCCGCTTTCTTCTTTCTTCCTCCCATGCTATGCAGGTATTGAAACAATTTTGTTTGCTTTATCTGGTTTAACTTTTACGGTTGTGGTAGTTGGTGCCTCCAATAGTTCTACAAGGCTTTCTTCTTCTTGTACTGCTTCACATACTTCTTCATCAATCATAGTTTGCTCTGTTTCTTTGATGCCTTCAAACCAAGAATTTTAATTTTTTTCACTTGTCTCCAGTCCTGTTCTGATTTTTCAACCAATCGGCAATAGGCAGATTATCTTCAGGATCCCATTCTCCTGTGTCTGATACAGCATACATACATTATTGCAGTCATAACGTTTGAATGAAAATTGGATCAGCTGAAACAGACTTAACATCACCCTAACAACTTCGTGACTTCTGGGACAAAGTTTTTACGAAACCATTCTCTAAATACCTCTATCGTGACCCAACTTTTAATTTGGTTCTCGTAGCAGGCCGGGAAACAAATGTTCTTGAAGGCTCTGGAATTTTTAGCCATAAACACGGCATGGGTGTGATTCTTTCTTTATCCGCTTTACAACATGGTGCGCTCGCTTCTTTAGACGATACGAATGTTTTAATGGACAACAGTGTCCAGACAGACCATTCTCATCTGCATTATATATTTAGCCAGGAATAAGACCCAGTTCCTCTTCTTAGTGTTTAAAATGCTGGATTTAACCAGAAAATCCATCCCTGTCCTTCATACAGAAGGTACTATTATCATCTAAATTTCCCACTAATGGGACTTTTCGTTAATTCAGATTGTATCAACACTACTGGCAATCTCCTGCTCAACACTAGCAGGAGAGGCTGGCAAGAAAGGCACAGGAAAGCGCGGAATTTATTCCAGCGACATTGGCAGCTATGGCGGAGGCTCTAGTTATGGAGGAGGCTCAAGTTATGGAGGAGGCTCAAGTTATGGAGGCGGTTTAAGATTTGGAGGCGGCTCAGGTCATGGAGGAGGTGCAAGCATCTCCTTGGAGGACCTAGGCGGTCACGGCAGCTTCGGCGGGCAAGGAGGTACTACTTTTGTCTCAAACAACCCCCATTAGTTGTTAAATTTTACTTTCTGCAGTTTACGGTGGAGGCAGCAGTGGAGGCTATGGAGGAGGCAGCATTGGAGGTTATGGAGGAGGCGGTAGTGGAGGAGGGTTTGGAGGTGGTAGTGGAGGCGGCTTTGGAGGCGGCTTTGGCGGCGGATTTGGGGGCGGAGCTGGAGGCGGCGGTGGAGGCGGTGGTGGTGGAGCCACCATCTCGACCATTACCAGAACCGTGCCAGTTCCAATTCCACAACCTTACCCAGTTACTGTTAACCGCCCAGTTCCATACCCGGTAGCCCAGCCCGTTGCTGTCCCAGTCTCCAGACCTGTTCCAGTAAGCTTTAAAGCCCATTGAATAAACCTTGAAGACTAATTTCCTTGTAGGTTTCAGTGCCAGTGCCCCAACCCGTTGAGGTGCCACGACCATACCCAGTAACAGTAAACCGACCGGTTCCAGTCGCGGTACCGACAGCAGTCCGCGTACCAGTACCACAACCAGTTGCCGTATCAGTTCCCCAGCCCTACCCTGTCACTGTGCCTCAGCCCGTTCCAGTTAGAGTTCCGCAAACTGTGGTAGTACCCGTTCCTCAACCCATCTATGTAGGAGGAGGCGGCGGCGGTAGCTCTGGCGGATTTGAAGGAGGCATTGGAGGAGGATTCGGAAGCGGTTCAGGAGGAGGCTATGGAGGAAGTTCCGGTGGAGGTTACGGAGGAAGTTCCGGCGGAGGCTACGGAGGAAGTTCCGGCGGAGGTTACGGAGGCGGATATTCCAGTGGAGGAATTAGCGGATCAATTTCAATTGGCGATGATCACGAATCCAGCTTCGGAGGCTCATCCTATGGTTCAGATGGAGGGCAAGGAGGTTCCATTTCCTTGGGCGGTGGCCATGGAGGAGGATACTCTAGCGGACTTTCGTTAGGAGGAGGCCATGAAAGCCTCTCGAGCGGTGGCGGTTACTCAAGCGGAATCTCTTTCGAAAGTGGAGGACATGGCGGTCTTTACAGCGGCGGCGGATACTCAAGTGGGCTTTCTTTGGGAGGTGGAGGCGGACATGGAGGCCTGTCTAGCGGAGGGTACTCCAGCAGTATTTCTTTGGGAAGTGGAGGCGGACATGGCGGACTTTCTAGCGGCGGTTACTCAAGCGGATTATCTTTGGGAAGTGGAGGCGGACATGGAGGCCTTTCCCTTGGAGGGGGTGTTTACGGAAGCGGAGGTGGAGGCTACTCCTCAGGACTGTCCCTAGGAAAAGGAGGCTCTAGCTATAGCTCCATCAGCTTGGGAAGTAGTGGAGGCTCAGGCTACTCAAAATACTAGCCGGAATACCTTGGCTGTCATGTGTTGTAAATAATCCCATTTCGCTCATCCACGATTATTTTAGTCATTCATAATTCTATTGTGATATCAATATGCTTTTTGTATATAAGTCGAAAATATATTTTTATAAATAATTAAGAAATACATTTTGTGTTTGATTTGGCGTACTGTCCACTAGCAGACTGATAAGTTCTGTTGACTTTAAACATTATCGCACCTGCTAATTGGCTGAGTGCTATCTGGTATTACTTCACGGCTATATTTGCTTTTTTCAGTAACTACTAGTCGATAAGAACGAGTAAACAAATCGATGAATTTGTTCAGTGATTTTTTAATATTTGTCGGAAATGGATTAACTCCGTGACTATGACCGTAACATATTCTAGTGAAGTGACCACCAGTACTGGGGTTGGAATTTTTTTAAAGCTGCTGGCAAGGTAAGAAGAACGAGAATGTGTACGGCTTGGACAAAAGTGTGCGTTTTTCAGATGGAAGGGCAGCATCTACAAAATAGTTTGGATGGATCTGTTGCTCTATCTGGCCACTTACTACTGTCTCAACCTGCTCTATATATATGGATTAACTGAGCAGTACGGACGAAGGTTGTAATAGTTCTTAGCTGTACCTTAATTCTTCGTGCCTTTGGAATTTGAAACGAAATCTAAGGCACAATTTTAGAATATTTGGACGCAATCTTTTCTAGTTCATCCGTTTCTTGAGTTGCGGAAATAATCATCCTGTTTCTGGGGAAAATGCAGTTAAAAACCACATAGACGTTTGCAATTTTTTCATTAAAAAAACTTAAATTTTCATTATGATTTTGCTATTATAGTTCGCCATCGGTCAAGATGCCGATTCTGTACGAGCAACTCAATAGTATATAACTAGTTGCCAAATTTCTACAAAATAGCTAATCTCCATCAAACTGATCAGAAATCTATTATTGAAAGCAGCGTACACCGCAACTAGCTTCATGTAAATCCCAAATCGATTTATTGGAGATAGAGATGTTTGAATTACTGAATGATCAAAAAATGAACAGTTATCACAGAAAACCTAAATGAGAAATTTGGCAACAATTTATGTGATTGAGCATGCAAGTTATTGGACAAGTGCAATTAGGCGGATTACAATTATGTAAATGCATGTTATGACAAATAAACGTTATGAACGATCATTAAATTTATTGATGCAAAAGTTTCGATTTGAAGTCATCTTCAGTTAATTATCAAGAAACGTTGGTTTAGGATCTTGCGGTAATTTATGCATGGAATGCATAAATTCCTGAAATTTCAAGGTAAAAATAAATTTTATATAAATTTTCTACAGTTAACTCTTTTCCTATAAGTCAATAAAACTTTGATTTTAAGTTTTCCCTTAGTAATTTCTTGCAATAGGGTCTTTGCACAATTTTTGTGGCTGAAACTTCTTAAAACATTGGCATCGTTTAGCCATGCGTGCATTAGCACGCCTATTGCAAATTTGTAAAAAAAGATTGTGTCAAAAAAAAGGACCTAAATTTACCATCTTCGCTTTGAAAATGACGTCATGCCAGAACGTGGTTTCATTGGCTGTGACGTCAAACGGTACGTCGGATACAATTCATACGCTTGTTAGAGCCACAAAGATTCACCATTGTCAAAAATCAGCCCTCCACCTCTGTCGTCAAATATTTTTTAAAGGTTTTGTTTGTGGGTCAGCAAACCGAGAAAGCGGGTAATGAAAAGGATAAGAATCAGATGCGAACAGGGTGTCATATTGTTCAGGCCTGCTTTTGTTTAGTACCACACCTTTGTTTTGTTTTGTAGCGCTTTATGTATATTGTTTAGTTGTTCCTTTTTTCGGAGTGTTTTTGTCTGCTAATTAAAGTACTTAAGCTAGTTTTTGGTTTTTATTTCGAACCGGTTGTGAAGTTAAAACGGGTACGTTTTTCGGACACAACACGTTAGTTATATGGCCATATCCAGCACAGATAAAATGTAGACGAGTATATATGTATATACCTGGGGCATAAACTCAAAATTGATAAAGAAAATCAAAAAGCAGAAATACCGCAAAGCATGATGCCGCGAATGTTATTATCATGGTAAATGTCGGACTAAAAACGTCGTTTCCGCTGAACTGCACTACATGATTTTTATAAATAAATTCGTGAATTATAATTGAGATCGAGAATTTTTTGTAATTTTGATAGGCTTTAAAAAACATCTAAATCTGGAATGCCTGAGATTTTCTGTCAGATCGCGTTGAATCCTGATATAAGCGCAGTCCATGAATTTTGAACTCAAAATGGATGTTTCCTCACAAATAAAATTTCCTTCAATAAAAATTCGTTATTTTTAATTGAGCCAATATCCTCGTGGGACCTTGATAAGCTCTGGAAAACATCTGAGGTTGTAATTCCTGCAAATTTTAATCAGATCAATTGGCGGACTTCATACATGTTAGGCTAAAAATGGACGATTTCGCCCAACTGCAGGCTTTTCCTTGAAAATTCGTAACGTCTAATTTACAGCCAGAAGCATTATGAGATTTTTGACAAGAGAGACACGGTAACTTTGTTGATAACTAAATTGATAGACTAAGTTAGACCCAGTATCCTCTTTTGATATTGGAAAACTATATAAGGTACTTGACGCTACACCTTTCAATAATAAATATTTGTAAGTTTTAATTTAGGGCCAGTAACCCCGTGAGATTTTTGCAATTTAAAGGATAACATTGCGCCTACAACTCCTGAGAATTTAATACAGATCGCACTAAATTCTGATTTTCGCGAAAAAGTTTAAGCCTTCGTAAATTCCCTAAGCCTTCTTCTTCTAATTTATATCCAGAAAGCTCGTGAGATTTGTTGTGTCCGTGACCATGGGAAGGGCCCTTGTATGTGGAAACTCTTTAAACTATATTATTCTATTAGATGATTACAGACTATTATTATTGTATTAACAGCTCCTGTGATTACGGACATAGATTATATGGTTATATTTCGATCTCATCAAAATTGACCAAAATGATGACATGACATGCACCTCTGGCGTGGCTATCGTACCGTGAAACGCAACATCTCTCCTCCTAAGTGAAAAATTTGCAAGTTTTGCCTACTAACTGCTTTTTTGGTTCTTTTGGAGCGATTCAACAGGGGCTCACCAGGTTCAGACCTGCTAGTTTTATCAGAAGACACGGTCTCTAGTTTCATCAGACTAAATCTAATCGCGTTTTTATTTCCCTATTGAACATTATAAAACCTGCACTTAAACCAGTAACTGAACGTGGGGTTTTTCCGTCCTGCAGTAGAAATTTGAGAGTTGTTGTTCCCTTTCCGAATCCGTACCCTTTAATGCTCTGAGAGCATGCTTAAATCTCTGAACATATCGTTGAGCCAGACCGTTCGTCGCCGTATTATATGGTGCACTTAATTTATGTATGATTATATTTTCTTTTAAGATTTTTGAAATTCATAACATACGAACGTTTGTGCGTTGTCCGAAACTATGACTATTGGTAACCCGTAAGCCGCAAATATTTTCCTAAGTAATGGAATTGTAGTAGCCGCTGTCGTGTTTTTAACACTACAGTGGCACACACGTATGTGAATCTCGAGCCATCTTGTATAAGCGTCCACTAGAATCAGAAAGTATAAATTCATAAATGTCCCGCAGTCTATATGTACTCGGTCCATTGGTGGAAATCGTGTTTCCCAGGGATGCAATGAAACTTTCGGTGGATTGTTTCTCACTTTATTGCAATTTACACAATTCCTACAAATTGTTTCCATATCGTTCGATATGTTCGGCTACCAACAGTGACTACGTGCCAATTGATTCATGTTCCCTACACCAAAGTGACTTTTGTGTATTTTTAAGGTTTTAGGTATTCCTGCTGGATGTTGTTTGAAAATGGAATTACTTTGTAAAGAGAATTCGATTTGGCGTATATTAAATCGATCCTTCGCATGTACTCTCGTGACGCTTTTCAACTCTTGTAAAAGTTTCTGAAATGCCTTTTTCTTCGTGGTTTTCTGTTCCAATTTTTTGAGGTTGGCGGCCAAGGCTTCAATTTGATGTATCCGAAAATCCGCCATTTTTTGATCCAATTAAAAGTGCTCTCTTTTTTCATAAATCTTAGGGTGGTGTCAAATGTTACTTAAATCTTTAAGAAACCGCGCGTAATAATTTACTAGTCCGACAAAAGCTCTAACTTCCGTCTTGTTACTCGGAACTTTCGCATTTTGTATTGCGCCAATCTTTTGTTTTATTTTATGTATTCCCTGTTTATCAATGACATACCCGCAGTACTCAATTTTATCCCCAAAAAATGTACATTTTTCGTAATTTACCCGTAGGTTGTATTTTTCGGGTCAGCTAAAAATGAATTCTAGTCTTTCTAAATGTGTTTCCTCATTAGGTCATGTAATTTTGATATCACCCAAAAATATTCCCATACATTCTTCTAATTTAGATCCAGTCGCCTCGTAAAATTTTTGTACATCGGAGGATAACCTTGCGCCTATAACTCGTGAGAATTTAATTGAGATTACACTAAATCCTGATTTAGTGCAATAGTGTGACCGTGTAGAAGCTCACATCTATTTAGCAAACCCAATGTTTTAAATCCTACACAATAACTGCATAAAAAATCCGAAAAAAAATGTCTTCTTTAACTCAACTCGTTTTTTCAGGCAGTTTATCAACATTGTCACCTACTTCTCAAAATATGGTAACTCAATCCCGCTCAGTTTCGTCTTGGGGTTCTACGTCAATGTTGTTTACACCCGCTGGTGGGCGCAATACTCATCCATACCCTATCCAGACAACATCGCAATTCTGATAGGAACCAGTATTCATGGCAAAGTATTTATTTAGACTCACACGGTAGGCAATCCTACTAATAAGGCATCCAAATCAGGATGAAAAGTCGCGGATTATTCGGCGAACCATTATCCGTTATGTGTGTGTGGCCTTCACTCTAACTTTGACCATGATCTCACCAAAAGCGAAGAAGAGGTTTCCCACTTTGCATCATTTCGTCCAAGCTGGATTGCTCAGCCATGAGGAGAAGGGATTTATTGAGGAGTTGAATAAGGACTGCCCCACCTACTACTCCAAGTACTGGTAAAATCTTCTTGACGAATTAAGAGTTGTTAGCATAAACGATCAACCATTAGGTTACCTTTGGCTTGGGCTGCCAATATCGCCACCAAGGCCCGATCTGAAGGCTTGATTAAAGAGGAGCTGAGTCTACGGGATATTCTGGAACAGATCAACGCATTCCGGGAAAAATGCAAGCAACTGTGGGACTACGACTGGATTTGCGTGCCATTGGTCTACACCCAGGTGAGCTGCTTGCATAAAATAATCTTAAATCTAAATCAGATGGTTTAGGTAGTCACACTGGCTGTATACCTCTACTTCCTCTTCACGGTAATCGGCACACAATTCATTGAAGAACAGACGGAGGGAGATACATTAATCTTCAGCTTCCCCCTCATGTCTTGCGTGGAGTTCTTCTTCTACATGGGCTGGCTGAAGGTGGCCGAAAGTTTGATCAATCCCTTTGGTGAGGACGACGACGACTTTGAGGTAGTCTGGATGATCGACCGACATTTGCAGGTTTCAACACCCATTCAAGCTCCCTTTATGGGATAAATGTTTAAAACCGCCATTCTAGGTGGGGTACTTGTTGGTAGACAAACTCCACAATGAACACCCAAAGTTGGCCAAGGACTACCACTGGGATCAAACCGCTCCCAGCCAGTTGCCTTTCACAGTGGCGTCCCAAAGGTACATGAACGAGCACCCAGTGGAGTCTACCTTCAAGATCAACGTGCAAAAGGGCGATCAGGACTTGATTTTCCGGGACGACATGGCCAATCTGGAGGTAAACATGTGGCTTTTACTTGATTCGAAACTGGAAAATGATAACGTTTCAGGAGCCGGGGCTGTTGGTAAATTCCCGTAAGTTTAAATTTAATTTTCAAGAAAACGGGGAATGTTTCCGAAATAGGCGTTATCTTCCAGAGGTCCATATGAAATTCCTTAGCGAGTACTCTTAGAATTGTGTTCTTGTCTGAATTGGAAATTGTCGTTTGTCCTTGCGTCTTCTTTGTGCTATTCTAGAGCGAACAGCTCTTTCATAGCTCAATGTCTAAGAAGAATTTATACTCTTTATATTTACCGGGTGGTTTTCTTTAATCTATGTTGAAATGGGTCTAGAATTTTAAAAATATAATTTTTGTTACTATAACCAACATAAAAAAGCCAGGAAATTACGAGTATTTTTAAGATTGGCATCTTACCACAAGCGGGCGCATCTAAAAGTAACGAGTTAAAATTTAAACTTCACTAAAAAAAAGACAGTCGGAGAGGAGTAGAAAAGCCATTGAAATTGTAAACATTTATATGGCTCTAACTTCTAAACTTCGTGCTCAATTTCAGAAATTTGACGCTTGTTTAGAAGAAAAATGTTGGCGCTTTTTATTGATGTGTAATTGTGTATTCAAGCAATGTTACAATAAGTATTGAAGTTATTTTGTTGGCAATCATTCTGACACATTTAATGATATTGAGCTTCTTTTTTTCGCATTTGCTGGCAAACTCTATCTTCTTTTTGATTACTATTTAAATCGCATTTAAAAGTGTTTTTCGGGCTTTGAAGCCGTGGTCCATGCAATTTCTTCCTGACGTTTCGTCCACAACTGCGGTGAACATTATCAAAGGCGATGAGGCAGTGGGCGAAGTGATCTCCCGTGCTTTCCGACACTCATTGATTTCTTAATAGTGATTTGGTTCTTATTTCTTATTTATTGATTATTTAACATTGATAAAACAAACTTTTTATTTGCGCACAAGAATCTTCTACAATAAAACTGATGTCATCTACTTATGCACTATCTTATAAGTTGTTCAAACTGTTTCCTGTGAACAATAATTTTCATGTGAACAATAATTAGGTCTGTTTGAGCTCTTCCACAACATTTCGGAAAATTTCACCGGAAATGGACCAGTATTCTGCTGCAATTCGCCTTTTAAGATTATCAATATCAGCAGGTTGTGTTTTATAAACAATGGATTGCCCCAGAATATATGCCCAAAGAAAAAAGTGTAAGGGTGCTCAATCAGGTGATTTTGGAGACCATTCAATTGGTCCCCTTCTGCCATCGATCTATCCGGGTATATCTTAAGAATGTTAGGGAGGGTTCGAAAATAGACTTTATTATTGTTTACCGGAAAATATTCCACATTTTGAACAACTTATGATATATCTATAAGTAGCACAGTTAGCAAATCTTTCTAACGACGTTACTAAAAAGCTCCCTTGATTTGGAAATATTCGGATAAATTTTGGTTTCTAATATTTACTATTTCGCATTTCGCTCTGTTGTGGTAAAATGCAAAAATATGTCAAAACATTGCGCATTGCCGTTTTAGTGAAAAAAAATTCCAAGCCCAGTGGTTTCCGAAATATAACCAATAGCGATCCTTATTGAAACCCCCTGTATGTATAAGGAGAAACTAACGGCAAGACGAAAAGCAAAAATGGAATTTTCTGCTGTCTTGCAATTAACAAAACATGTTTTGCAACCATTTACCGATGTCCAATAAGTGAGCCCCAATTACTTCTAAGCACGCCACACTTGAAACATATTTCAGATGGCCGATCCGGATTTAAGAAGTTCTTCTCCCGGCGAAAGTCTGATCCTGGTTACCTTTTAAAAAGGGTGGCAATTCAAGATGGTCATGCCCCAGAAGCTGGAAACGACTGGCACGAAGTAAGCAAGGAATATTCAATAAAAATTCGGCTGTTATGAAATTTGAATATTTTCTTGCAGCTTAACACACTCGAGGCTGAAACCAATGCTTCCGGCAGTCGGGAGCAAATTTCTGATGAAGAACAATTCAATTCCCTTAGAAATAGTCGGCTGGAAAATCGACGAGAAACTATCCTAAAGCTACTGGAACTGCTAAAAGACGACAAAAACGAGGTCCGAAGAATCTTAACAGAAATCATCAAATAGGCTTGTAATGGTCGAGCAGTGGCGGTAATCACGAACAATTAGGCGCAATTTGTTCGAAACATTGTCTGATTAAATAGTGAACAAACAACCTAGGGAAAGTAACTTGTTAGGTTCATTTAAGTCATTATCTAAGCCGTTGAACCGGATCCAAATTTAAGCGAAATTTTGCATTTAAAGTGTGCTATATTGTAATAATTGCACTTAGGTAGTTTAATAATGATATACAAAGTTTTCTTTTCTTCGAACGTAGAGTTTATGTAACCATCAGGTAATTTTATTGAATCTTAATAATTTGAGTTCGTTCGTGAGGTTTATTTCTGCAGGCAAAAGTTTGACGTTTTTTCTCTGAAAGCCCAGTGAAGTTCAGTTCCTATTTCTGTCAGTATTTTTTAGGTCAAAAACTCGTCCCAGAAGTTTCGGATGTACGTCATCATCAGACAATTTCATGGATTTTTTTACATTTTAGTTCGAGTTTTTCTGCATTTCTGTAGGTCAAAGTTTATCATTTCCTTTCTACCGAACTGGTAAAGATATATTCTGGTGTTTGTCGGTATTGCTTCTTCTATACCTTGTGACCTCTTCTACACGTTGACAAAATTTCGAATTTTCATGACCATTAGGTAATATTATAAAATTTTTCAAACTTGACTGGGTTTTCTCGTTTGTTCCTTTAATACAGTTTGATTTTTTTCTGACTTCTGAAAGCATATTTGATCTTTGACAGCGTTTTCGGGAGACGCAGCTTCTGTAAAGGTTTTGATTTTACGCCATCATCAGGCACTTCTGTAGATTGTTCATAATCTGAAGTTGCTTGTTGGGGATCTTTTCGAAAATCGAACCAGTAAAGATCAAGACCGAAGTTTCTCTGCATTTTATAGGGCAAAATCTCTTCTATAAGCGACAGAAGTTTCGAATTTACATCATCATCATCAAGGAGTTTAATCGAATTTTTAAAATTCGTTAAGTTCGATTCTCTAGTTTGTTTCTGTAGGACAGGGATTGAAATTTTTGAGACCGAGAGAGGAAACGACTCATTTTTGGCAGTATTTTTGAAAGAAGTGTCTGTTTAGTAAATTTTAAAAGTTTCGAATTTCTGCCATCACCAGACACTTTAAAATAATTTTCCAATGTGCGTCCAAATTTCTTGTTTGCTTCTGCAGGATAAACTTTGATTTCATTTTCTTTAGGAACCTTTGAAAGAAAAAACTCCACTTTGACAGAATTTTCTAGAGAAAACTATCTACTATAAGGTAGTAGAGTTTCAAATTTATGTCATTTGCAAGTAGTTTTTTTGGAATTTTTCAAATTGGCTATCAGTTTTCTGATTTCAGGATCACGGTTTCTTCGTTCGATCTAAAAACTGTTTTTCCTCTATTCTGTCTCTACTATAACCAGGGTACAGCCATCTGTATCTGTGTGTTGTCCAATTGTTCGTCACTTTTTCGTCCTATAGTTCCGTAATCCTTTGTCCGTACATACCAAGTGATCAACTTTTCCATAATATTTTTTCAATAAAGTCATCCTCCATAAAACAAAACTAGTCACCTTCGAAAATTGTTATTAAAAAATGTTGATTTGAATCGGAAAAGCACGTTTTAATGTTCAATTTGGGTTAGTTATTAAGCTTCTAAATCATAAGTTTTCATGGAAGTTGTCCCCGTGAGTGCAAAGGGTAGAGGTCAATTTTTTGAAAAAATATAAATTCTCTCGAAGTGCGTTGCATCTTACATCATTTTCCTCTCAAAAAAGCGACAAATGCAACGAATGTATTAAAAAATACAATAGAAGCTTCAGATTCGAAATGATCGATATTTTTGCACATTTTGCGCTGTTACAATATTTAATTGACGAAATTTTTCTTATTATGGACGTAACACTTTCCAAATTCACATTAGGAAGCTTCTTAAGTCGAAAGCAATCCATTGAGCTAAAGTAAACGAAGGTGAAATTTGGCTTTTGAGCAAAAATTTCATGAGGGGTGAGAATAGAGCTTCTGTAAAGACGTCAAATCTCTCAAAATGCTTCAGAAAGGTTGATATTTGAAATAAGTGACACTATTGGCCAATTTTAGTATGCATATTGAGGAGGTTCTTAGGTGGAAAACAAACCATTAAACTCAAAAGCACGCACGTGAAATTTTGATTTTTCACCGAAAATTTAATCGGGGTAGAGGTTTTTTTTAGGGAACACTGAAAAATATCTTTAATCGAAATGGTTATAAGCGAAAATTCAATTAATTGTAGAGCACCCTTCAAAGTTGCGTTATTTTTAATTTACAGTTATTCATGCATAACAGAGTTTGACATTTTGTCCCACCAAAATCAGTAAAACCCGAGAGTGTATGCATTCAATAGAGCAAAATTCATTCTACAAGTAAATTTTCAAAACTACCTCTGGTTTTCATCATTGTGTTTGGGGGCTGCAATTTAGCATTTATTTCCTCTGTAGCTGCCGACGTAATAGAGTCACTTTTGATTGCATTTTAGTCCGTTATATAAGTGGATAAAGGTCAGATTTTCAGTCAAATACCGACAATTTTTGACAAATTTGTAAAATTACATTTGTAAAATTAAGTTTTTTCAGGCCGAAGTTTGGTGTTCAGTTATTCAGCTCAACTAATAAAATTTCAAAGCCACTTTCGTTTGTATTTTGTTGAGTAAAATGTCGTTTAATGGACTAAGCTATTGCACGTCTTTTGCAATAGCAAACTTGCATGTGATTTTCGTGAATGAGTAAACATTTCGTTGTTAGACATTTATTTCCTCAGAACGTGCGAACTAAGAGTATAGTTCGTTTACCACTTTTTGGCACATTTGTAGGGTTAATGATTCGATTTTGGATTGTCATCAGTAAATTTTCTGTTTCTTGTTATTTCGCTTGTATTTTCGGAAATTTAAACAAATGTTCGTTCAGAAATCAAGACGATGACTTTTGCATGCATTTAATTAGGTATAAATAGTATGTTATATAATTTTGTGCCATCATCAGCCTCTTTTCAAGCTTTGTTAAATTTGCGCTGGATATTTGTGATTGTCTATGCAGAACTATGCTGGGTATTTATTTGCTCAGAAAGCAGTAAAGGTGGAAATTGACTTTCAGGTGTATTTTGTAAGGCAAACGTTTTTCCAAACCTATACAGGGTGATTTACAACCCAGATAACACAAGATATTCTAGGAATATTCCAAGAATATTCAATCCAGCACATTCAATATTCCACGAATATTCACAGGGAATATTCCAGGGACAAGAAAGTTGTAATTTTGAAATGTGCTATAGATATCCCAAGAATATTCCTGCCATATGCCTGTATATTCATGACACATTCTAGGAATATATATCATAGATATTCCATAAATATTCTCAAACGTGGTTTTTGGTATCTTGGAATACTCGGTAACGCAAAAAATAAAAAAAATATGGAAAGTTAAATTTTGCATTGGGTATTATGCAATTAAAAAATCTAGTTGAATTTTCAGTAAAATGTACCTAATTGAAGTTTTTTCCACACACATAACTGAAAATTCAGAAACTTGTTATTGAAAATTCAAATACTTGTAATTGAAATTTCAGAGACTTGTTATTAAAAATTCGAAAAATTGAAAATTCAGATTCCTGTTATTGAASATTCAMATACTTGTTGTGATTGATATTATATTATATATTTATAATTTTTTTTATACAGTGATACATTATTTTCATTTAATACTAAAGTAGTTAGAAACGCCGAATAGGGTTTCGCCAGATTAAAGGAATTAACTATGAATTTGAAATATGAATTTTCACTTACAAAATGTACTGAAAAGTAACTGAATTTTCAACCCATTTTTAACAGTGTGGCCACCTTATGTTTTTTACCTGATTTGTAATACTACCTAATACTATCAATATTGGAAATCTATAAATGACACGCAATTATCTTTACTATTAATTACATAGTTTATTAATATATMWRATATTATAGGTCATTATTATATGTTGTCGTTTATATATAGGTTGTCTTGACACCCTTTCTTTGGCTCTGGCAAAGTAACACCCGACTTGAAGTTCAACCTCCTTAGCCGTCACCCGTTGATCGCTTAACAGCACAGCATCTAAGAAAATATTTTCATTGAAAAAAAAAACGTCATAAATAATAAATTAATACAGACGTTTAGATATAATTATGTTATAAACAGCAATATTTAAATTGACGATAATGTTTTTTTTGCTTTGAAACAGCAAAAATATTAGAATCAAAGTCAAAGAAATCAATAAAACAAACCAATATATTGCAGCATAACTTACCCACGATGATATTAAACAGTATTGTGGACTTGAATAACTTCTTGCCCTTATGTCCCACCAGGCTGTAGCCTAGCATGTACATATCGTCCATGATTTTTTCGCAAATCCTCCTTACCGTCTCTTTATAATTTTTCCCTCCCACTCTACTCATTTGAGCAATCTAAAAAATATATTTGATACAACAGCCATACAATATAACCAATAACTTTCTTACAACTTCCTTCTTTAACTCAGCATTTTCTAATAATGCCTCCACTTGCGCAAACCCAGTTTGATCTTTTATGGGAAATTGTGACTCAATTTCCGAAATATTATGGGCAGGTTCGGGAATTGTTTTCCCTTCCAAATGGTTCAAAATTCTGCCCAACATTTCGGTTTGTTGATCCAACTTTTCTCTAATGGATTGAAGATCTTGCTCGTGATCTTCCAGAATTATTTTATGCTTCACTGAGTATCCCAGTGCTTGCTTAATGAATGACTCTAGAATATAAAAGTTATTCTTACACTCTATATATGGTAATAACTAACAACCAGATCATAAAATTTAAATGTGTTCTTTCTACTAACTAATCCTGATAATGATATTTTGAAAATTTATGAGAAAATAAATCATAAGATAATAATAAATCTAAACAGTAACCCTGTAAGAAACTTACCCATATATGTTGGTATTTTTTCATCCTCTACCGACATCCTATGGTGTGCGGAAACATCTGAAAAAATATTAGATATATATAAGTTCATTCGAAAAACCCTATTTATAATAAGGTTTCTTACCAGTCTGTTTGTCACCAATAAGAGCACTATCTTTGAGTTTAGCAAAGTTACTAGAAGTTGGTGTTGACCTCCTAGGCAAACTACTAAGGTATACCAACTGCAAATTTTGGCCTAACAAAAAACTAGGGCTGTTAATATTAAAATCACTAAATTGACCACCCTTACCAATAGTTATTTGTTCTTCCCGGATTGATTTTGCTGTAAATTCCAAAGAACTTTCAGAGTCTTCTAAGCTGCTTGAACCAGTTCGTATTTTTCTCTGCCTTTTTTTTGGCAACTCACATTCAGAGTCTGGAATGTCTGATGTCACACAAGCCTTATTTGCTTTTGCACTGGCTTTTAAAAATGTTGGATAACTCTTATTAATCATCAACTCAACTTTGTACGACTTCCAACATTCTTGAGGGTCATCTTCATTTTTTATGCTTTTCTCCAATTTAAGTCTGCCATAAGGAGGGTAAAGAGCATTGCCTCCTTGCACTAACCATTTTTCAGGTAAAACCTCCACTTCATCGGTTTCCACAAAACGTGCAACAACCCACGGCATATTTTATGTTATTTTAGTATCCAGTTGTCAAMAACTTAAAACAATGTTAAACACATTAAGATTTCATTATAAATTTAAAGTAACAGTCAAAAACCAAAACAGTTAATTTAAGTTTTAAAAWTAMATARTATATCAATAYATTATGAAGCAGCGGCAGCAAAACATAACAGTCCTTATAAGGCAATCTAACAAATTTKAAGGCAACTTCAGTCAAAGGCCAGAATTGCAATTTAYTTGTCTCATTTTTTACAAGAAATATATTTAATAATGAACTCTTACAAGGTTTTTCAAAAAATAATAACTTTTCGTTATACCTATGTACTATTATYACAAGCTGATTGTCAATAGTAGAAGTARCAAAATTTCTTATATCTATAACTGAACCATCTTTAAGTAAAACTGAAGAATTTGCACGATCAACTGCCAGTTCAAAACCGTTGAAGCTTAATTTGCCATACTGAGGTGCTTTACAACCTGTAATAAGAGGTCCATTTRAATGAACATTCCTACAAGTTAATTTCGAGGCATTTTGGAAAGAATCACTGTGTTCAGAATTCACATAATTTATTTCACTTATCCTATTAATAATTTGAGCCAAAGGATTGTCGGGCTTTCTTATTAATGATTTAAGCTTTTGTAAGTAATTTTCAAATCGTTTACCCGTAGGTAAGGCGACTGGTTGTGAAAATCTACAGTCCATTTTGTTCATTTTTCTAGAGAAATACCCCCTTTTACCCCCCTAAAATTTTGTGTGATGCGCCACTGTCTTCGACCGGGCGGCACGATGTAAACAATGTTTGATCTCTTGTAGTTTTTTCGCATCTGTCTTCATTTTTGAGTTATTTGCACAAATATAAGTTCATTTAGGGTTTCTGAGTGATTTTCTGAGTGAGATGATTTTTTTTAATTTTTTTGTGTCCTTTTGATCATATTCTTCTGTGAAAGCGTCAAGTGAGCTTTGGTAGAAGCCAGTGGCGCACCACAAAATTTTCACAACCAGTTGCATTACCTACGGGTAAAGGGTATAAATATTATCATACGTTAAAAATTGGAGCAAACTATCTCATAAACTGTAGGAGCTAAAGATAAAATACCAAAATTGTTTAGCGATAAGTCATCGGTCACGTGATGATAGGCATTTTTGCTGAATTCTGCTGAATGCACATTTTGCCTTGATTCTCATAGCCACAGATCATCCCCTCTGGAGAGATGTTCTGTGCTCATGACATTTGAGACTATTGGCAGTTGACTGCACGGCAATAGGCATACAGGGTTGCTCATTAGTGCGTCAAAGTGCGATATCTCAGTAAATATGAAGTTTACAAGAAAATTCGTCCAACGAAAGTTTTTCACGTTTAAAAGGTCCACATTCTAAAATTACTTTCCAATATACAGGGTGCATCATAAACGTGTGGTAGTTACCAACTCTGGTTTTTTAAATGAAACCCCCCCTTTTTTTTGTTATTTTCAGATTGGCGTTCAATTTTAATTTATGTTTGTTTCAACCGTTTCACCTGAAAACTTTACGATTTCCGAGTTATTCGTAAAAATGTGAAAGTTTTGACAGCTACTGGGTTCCACAGAAATCGATGCTGTACACTACCCGCTGCGAATTTTGGGTAAAGTGTGGTACTCTTAAAACTTAGAAAACCGTTACTAAGTTATTCAGCAAAATTTATAAAATCGTCGTCAACATATCCACTATCAAAA